AGCCTATTTTAGCTTCAATTAAAAAAGAACGAGAAGAGGAAAAGAAACTGTTGCAAAAAAATAAAAAATATAACGGCTGATGACGTTCAACTAACAGCTGGAACAGCTAATAGTGGAATAATGGTTGAAAACAGAGAAATAGATAAATGTGAAAAATAGTTCTTGGACCAATGAAGAAAGTAGCTTAAAGTATTTAATAAATGGGAAAATAGCAGCTGGAAAACATTAAACTAGCTGAAAAAGCTGGACTTTTAAATGGATGGTTAGGTGGAAGTAATTAAAATAATGGATAAATAGTTGAAACAGCTAAGTGTAAACTCAAAACAAAATTATTATTTACCCTCAATAAACATGAAGTAATAATTTGGAGTAAAATGCAGCTGAAATGAACAAAATCAAAGGTTTAATTACTCATATAATTGATATTTAAGGAAAATGTGCTTGGTAGAAAAACTGAATGTATACAAATCAAGTGAATGGATGCATGAATGGCAGAAACATCTGGTCAGTCAGTCAGTCTGGCTAAAAGGGTTACTAAAAGAGATGCTGTTCCATTACCCTGATATTGACAGTTTAAGTGTATTAAACAAAGAAAACTTGTCATATCCACTTTTAAATGTTGTAATGTGTGGAGTTAAATAGCTAACAGGTGGAGGAGAAACAGTGGTGCTTTCACAGGCTGGGAGTCATTGTACCACATACACCCAGAATGGCTTATGTGTTCCTCTAACTGCTGTTACCTTCTAAAAAATAAAGAAATCTACATTTACAGCAGTTAAACTTTAAATGGGTTTTTTTGGGTGCATTTCTACATGTTTTCAACTGGTCAAACAAGCAGAACCACTTGGAAGTTAAAAAAAATAAAATAATCAAACAACAGAGTCTTTATTGAATCCTGTAGTTTTCAGAGAAAAGCCACTTCCTTCGTTATCAGCTGCAGATGTTTGTTGACGTTTGCTCAAAGCATTGCAGAACATTTGAACACGTTATAATTCATCCGTAAGGGCACGTTAACGCTCCTGCATCTCCTTTGTATAGACACTTTTTTTTAAAACTGTGAGGTTTGCTCTATTTTTGTAACATTGGGCTATATTATGCAAATGGTCATTTACACATACAGTGCATGGAAAAGTCTAAATGTGCCTGACAATCTCAGTCAGAAAACAGGAGATGCAGTGCTTCGATATCTCCCACAGAGGGCGATGTAGGTTAGGCTTTCTGTTAGTTGATGGCACCGTAGTTTCTAAAATGGCTGCACTTAAGACGTAAAACCTAAAATCTTTTCAGAAAAAAGAAAGAAGGAAAAGAGCAATAAAACGTAAGCTTTTAGACTGTCAATTTCAGCTCAGAGAAACTGCACAGGTTATAGCTAGATTTCGACACGGCTGCACTGGTTCGCAGTTGCGCATTTGAGCGTCTGTAACCAGTCTTGACAGAGCACATCCATAGGCAAGACAGCTTGGACACAGAATTACAATCCTGGACGAGATGAACACGAGATACTGACATTACCAATCTCTATTGTAACAACTGATAAAACTGCATTTGCTTCGAATGCCTTAGATTAGTCTTAAATAATACTACGCAGTAAAATGTACTATATTTCTATATTTAATAGAAACAAAAATACTTACACTTAAAATCTACACTTTATCTATCCATTTATATATATATACACTGAATTTGTAATATATTTACTTTATAATACAAATTATAATCAGAATTACATAGGTATTAATATAAAGTCTATCAAACATGGAAGCTTTAAAAAAATCTGGACGTAAAAAGGCTTTTGGCCTGTTTGCAAGCAGTGTTTGAACTGATGGTTTGGTGTGTGCGTTTGTGTGTGTGTGGAGCAGGTGTTACAGGAGGGAGGTGGTAACAGAGGAGTCTGACACACGCGTGAGAGCAGTGGGGCGCTGGAGATCACAGAGCTGTCTCTTTCAGGTCGTTGAGATTTGGCATACGAGATCTGGACGGGCGTCCGAAGCCGTGCCCGTTCTGGCCTCCTTTGATGCTCATTTGCTCCGGGTAGGGGTTGCCCTCGGGGCGGCCCAGGGCGGACGTGTGCCAGCCGGAATCCAGCTGTCCGGGCAGCGGGTACGCTGACTGTCGGGCCTTGAGCTGGGGCGTGCTGACCCCTGAGTGACCCCGGCCCTCGGTGAAACCGCCTTGAGCAGAGGCTGAGTTAGGCAGCGGCTGGTAGCGCATGTCAGAAGATGCGGTCTGGTTGGAGGATGAGGAGGAAAGGTGCAGGAGCTTGCGCAGCGACTTCAGCGGTTGGCTCTGAAAGACACGACGGATCACAAAATATCAGAGGAAAGAAAAATTGCGCTCACGACAGGTTTAATCCCGTCGATGACGGACGATCAGTCCAGTCAGACAGTCTCTTATGATTACTGCAGTGAAGGGATTAAGGTGTGTCTTTGCTTTTATTAAACACCAACATCTGAGTCACAGCTTATTTGATTACTAAATCATCCTGGACAGACAGGAAAATTGGTAAAATTTAAAAGTCTGCAACTTATTTGGCTGAGTTACAGTTCAGTTCTTGAAACATTTATACAAAATTTCAATCTTTAGGAGAGAAAAAGAGCATTTCTTCTAGAAGAAATAATCACCCTTTGTGTTCGCCATCTGTTTTTTCTCTCCCTGACATCTTGGTTAGCAGGTGACGCTGATCTGCATTGATTAAATCTTCTAGACGAGGATACCTGCTCTTATTTCTCTTTGGCGCTCTCCTCGGGAAGAGCGTATGTAACGAAACGCAGCTCATGAATAAATGTTTAAATCAAGCACTTCACAACAGCGCACGAGGAGAACTCTCACCGAAGAGTGTGAATCGGACAGTTTCTCAGGCGGCCAGTCCTTGTCCCTGTCTCGATCTTGGTCCCGGTCTCTGCTCTTGTCACGTGACCTGTGGCGGTTGCTCTGGTGACTCGAAGACCTGGAGGACTTTTGGATGACCGTATCCACGCCTTCACTGGAAACCTGTGACACAGAGCACGGAGGTATAATTTACTCATCCAATCAGACACATTTCACACTCATGACTAGGACAGCAGTGCACAATGTTTAGGGCAACATAAAACACTCACATAATCTGCTAAACTGTTTTTATTTATGAAGTTAATTTATATTGTTTCAAACTGGCCTAAGCACTCATTTCTAACAGTTTTTTCTACTTCTGGTTCTTCATGATGTCAGAGAGAACAGGCAATCTCTGCACCTTCTGTTTTTGAGTAGCAGCCAATCAGTAGAAAGTTACCTGAAAGGAAAAGAGAGCTAAAATTGTGCTTTTTAGACAGCTAATCAACTTAAATAAGGATTATTTTGAACTGTGAGTCATGCAAAAGCTACTCTACTAGAGTCTGAGCTGGAAATGAGCGTCTTCAGTAAACAGATTTCTGTGTTTCATGTTACCCTTTCATTCATTCATCACAGACATAAATGTGAAGTTACATCTGATAACCTGCGTTGTTACTTATTGATCTCCAGTGCAGTGAAGAAGTAAAGAAATAAAAAGAAAACGGACAAAAAACATGCATCAGAAGCCAAACCCCAATGTGTTTGCTGATCTGAGGAAGAGAAGAGAACACTCCACTCGTTTCGGATAAATAAAAGATGTTTTCTGAGTGTAATTCAAACGCAGTTCAAATGATATCCTCTTCAAGCAGTAAATGCCGTTTTCCACCGACTCCGAGTCTGACTGCCTGATTCCTCCTCCTGGCCAGATTGCATTTATTTGTGCTCTGTCATCAGCATGTAACCCCCCCTCCCCGAATCTGAGCAAACTGTCACTTATAAATAGAAATGCAAAGGGAAGAAAGAGCCTCAAACACCTGTTTCATGCTGAACCACCACTGCCACAGAGCTGGCAGCTAGTTTAACACGCCAAAATGTGGTCGCTTTTATATTAAGCAAGTACTATTGTAGCTCCACCATCACTTTCTGATCTTTGCTCTGTAATAAAGTCATTGGGTTTAGGTGCACATAGAGAAATTGATCAAATGCCTCTGCATGATGCCGGTAAGCAGTAAAGCTTTGTGAAAACAAGCACACAAACTCCTGAAACCGTGTGTGCTCAGCTAAAGCCTGAGCGCTCTCGTCCATCCTCAGCTCATAAGCAGAGACATGCTGTTAGGGCCATGGCTGAAATCACTGGCGAGTGATCAAAAGCACAAAAATGACCCGTCAGATCCATCCTTTTAAACCGATTGCAGTCAAGTGCATGCTTTTCTTCAAAGTGGGAGCTTTTTTTTTTCTCGTATTGATGGATCCAGCTGGTTTATTGATTCATTCACTCAACTCACCACCAGGAAAACCAGGCTTAAAAATCACACATTAAAACAGTGTTGATCAGTGCTGTTAAAGCATGCAATGTTAGATGGGTGACACAGAGGCAGGAGGTGAGTAGGATAGTGTAAAACAGCATGTACCATGGGAGAGGACACTACAGGGAGGACTCTCACAGAGGAACTATGCTTTATGTTATTCTTTGGGCTAAACAGAGGGAAAAGACATTTCTTGATGACAGGAGGCCTTCCATCAGGGACTTCCATCTGTAATTACAGAGGCACATGACTGGTGGTAGAGGTAAACATGATGCACATGACAACAACAACAACAACAATAAATGGTTTTATATTTCTGTAAAGGTGCCGATGAGGCTCATAGATGGGAAAACACTGCATCCACATGTGGGCGTAAGTCCTCAGACGCACTTCACACACAACATACCATCTGAGATTTCTTCTTTTTCTTCTTTATTGCTCTGAAGAAACCCTGCTTCTCCTTTTCTTTGGAAGGCTCAGAGGCATTCAAGACTACAGTATCTGGGCCAGTCCTGAAATAAAAACAAAGAGTAATGAGCGTGATGTCTCGGCTAAAAAAGTTTTTAACTCCCAGTAAGAATTTCTGTTAAAAATGCCACGTCATGTGGCCGGTGTGAAATTAAATCTGACGGTATACTGTTCTGACAGCGCCACAGACAGCGAAGAGAATAAACGCTGCTGTTCTTTTGGTGTGAAACTATTTTCGGTCGTGGTTAGAAGATATAATTACCAGGGGTCAAACGTCGGCTGTCGTTTGGAGTGATTCGCTAAACTGCTGCCGTCGCCAGACAAGCCCGAGCCCCGACTCTGACCCCGGCTGTCGTGGAAGGAGTTGTCTGGCCGGGGAGACGGGACTGTTCAACAAACACAACAAATGGGTTAATTTACGTCCAATATACAGAGAAATAAACACATAAACACAGGTCATTAGATGTCATAATTCTAGCTCTGACCCAAACATATATCTAAAGTTTAGGCGGGTAATACAAATAAATTAAGATTAAAACATAACTCAAGATTTCCAAAGATACACAACAAAAAACAGGGAATATAATAAAAAAAAAGAGCTGCAAGTATGTAGAAATTTATACCATAACTAACAGTGATGTAGACTTTAACAGCTGTGACAGGTCGGCTTGGCTGTAACATGCCGTGTAAACATCGGAAATTGATTGGCACACGCAAAAGACCTCAGCGAACTGAAAATGTAACAGACTGCAATTGTATCAAACTTGTGCATTTCGCTAATGCGATCGATGGTGTTCTGTTTCAATTAGATGTTTTACTTTTCTCTCTTTTGACCTTCCTCTTCCTTTCAATAAAAGCAACCCAATTTTCTTCGGGGCCAACCTTCGGGATCAATAAAGTTTATTGAATTGAATTGAATTGAAAGCGTTCCTCAAGATTTTTCTCCAAGTACAACTTGACACACCAGTGCAAACAACAATGGCGCCCACAAAGGCTCCTGTGCAGTACCATAAGTTAGACTTTAAAGCAAATTCATACACTAAAGTAATCGCGTGTCAATCTCAAAGTTTCAAACATTGGCCGCCCCCAAAAATGCAAGCTGGGACACAAGTTTTTGTGTCCCTCGTATTATGGAAATGGACAAATGCCAAACAATGCACAAATTTCCACATGGTTTAACTCATTTTCAGCAAACCAGATCAGATATATGTATGTGAATGAGTTACGTGTGTAGAGCAGCAACAGTTAGCAACAACTATGGCGAAGTCCTGTTCAGACCACAGGCTGTATAAATGTGAAGCAAAGAAGTGCTTATTATTGCATCCTTTCTGCTTGTAAAAAGAAGTTTGGCCATACTGAAGTCTATGAGGGAAAAAAAGCCCTTTGGATCTTTACTGCGCTTGGTCTAAATTCCATTTTTGTCTAATACAAAATAATTTTGCAAGTCATGGTCCCTTTTAGGAGGATTAAGCCGGGTAACATTACCAGGAGGGTAATAATGCTCAGCTTAAGGCTTCGCAAAGGGACGCTCTTCAATTTTCAGTGGAAGATTCTGCAGTGCCCAAAGGCAACCACATTCAGAAACACGCTTGAAGAGTCTGCATCACACTTTTGTCCCCAACAATTGCAAAATCATCGCAAAGCTGAATTGACTCCCTGAGATATCTAAAGGAGAGTGTCCAGTTGACCGTAGCGGTGGTACATGCAGTCTTTGCTAGCACACAGTGTGCTCACCACCTACTACATTTCGCCCTGTTTGGCTCACTGTAATTTCACCTTCTTCCTCAAGATTATACTCCAGTTGAAATGTCACTATTGTGATACAATGGAGCCAGTCCTCATGTCTGAATAGCCACACATGGCTTGGTCTTAAAATAGCTGCTGCCTCGAAGGACACTACTTTAAAGAGGAAGTTGAACACATTAGCATCAGGTGTTCTTTCCATTATAGCATACTGTGCACTCCAAAACAGTGGAAAGCACATCTTTTAATAAGTTATCTCAGTCAGTCTGCGTTACTGTCAAAACTCTTAAGCCTGCTTTCAGCAGCTTCCTGACATATTGTAATTAGGTTTGAGTAAAAAGTTCCAGGATGGGCTTAAAAGAATGAAACACGATTCCTTTTGATCAATCTCCTGTTGATCATCCTCTTGTGCACCACTGGATCATTTTCAGTGCTGCTATTATTTTTAGATCTCTGTCTCCTTGTACTTGTGCAGTGTGTGCTGAATCTCGTCCAACATGTCAAACCTGTGATCCTTTAACTTGATTTTAATTTTTTGGAAAGTGGACAAAATCACAGCGAGGCAAATCTGGTGGAAATGGCTGCAAACTGCTTAGCCGTCGCTGGAAACCCAGCTCTCATCGCCAGCGGTTATCTTCCGTGTGAAATTCCAGTTGGTTTGAAACACAAGTTTTATGCTCTCTTCTCAAGTTTGAGGTGTGTGGTGAAATAGCCGAGTGCACAGTGGAAGCGGTAAGAACAGAACTCCCAGAGAGTGGGCTAAAAATAGCAGCTGTCTGGACATGCCCGCGAAGATGACCTCGAACTGAAGATCAGCCAAATTTAATTTAGGTAAGGCTTTTGATTTTGAATGGGCCCACTGCCCGACCGTTTTAATCAACTGCTATGAAATCTACAGACATTAGAGGATGAAGATCACTGAATCTGGTGATAAGATGGCTATTTTTTAGTTTTGAGTGAAACAGCTGTATTTCTCTCTAACTTAGTGTAGACATCTCAAGAATCTGCAATAATATAATAATTCTCTATATAGCAGCAGCTGATCAGTGATTAGTGAAAAATAATATTCCCTCCAGTGATGTGTCTGGAGTTAATCTTTCCCCCCTTACTGCAGCAATGAAAGCGAGAAAGCCACAGCCATAAATATCACTCCTGATTAAACCAACCTCTGTAGAAGCTGCCCACCCGCCTTGGCATGGATTCGCTGTAGATGTTGCGGTTCTCTTTGGAAGAACCCCCATCTTCTGTTTGCTGGTCATGATATAAGCCAACCTGAGTCACAACAGAGAAACTCATGACATAAAATCTCCGAGGCTGCCTGCTTTGCATGCCTCTCTGTCTGAAACGATACCTTTATTTACCTGAAGGGACAGAAAAATAAGGTGGGGGCGTATTGATTTATGATTGGTCGTTATAATAAAACATCTGTGCGGGCTATAAATGTAGCCCAGAACTGAAATGCGATGCGATGACGAGCTCGACTGCGCTACCATAAGAAGTCACATTAGAGGGAAGCAAAGCACACAGAGAAAATGAAGAGGCATCTGATGCAGGAGAGACAGAGAAAAAAGAGAAAGAGAGAGCAGTTCATGACAGCAGTATCCACCCACATCCGCGCGCTCGGAAGACTGGATGTGGGTGGGGAATGGTGGGTGCAGGCAGAATGTCGGACCTCGCTTTTTTTCCGCTGTGTGTGAAAAGATGCGGTGTTGTCCCTTGTGGAGTCCCTTATTGGAGGTCTGCTGTGGGTGACCTCAGTGGGTGCCTGTTCGTTCTGTTAATGGAGACATGATGAAGCATGAAGTGAGCTCAGCATTGCAGCACATACAAATACACACACGGTATATATATACTATATGTGTGTATACAGTATATATAAATATACGGGTAGCATGATTCACTGCATGTCCTAAAAGGAAAGCCACACTCTTAGCACCTTAAATGTTCACAGATGAAGCTGCAGCTATGCTAATCCTGCCTTTCCAATTCATTACAAACCTGGGACACAAGATCTGGCTGAGAACCTAAACACACACCATGTTTTCAGACGCCACCAGAATAAGTCCTGGCTGCGTCACTGGACAAACTGAGACTGAGGCAGAGCCGTCCAACAAAACCTGGTGTAGGCATTTGTTATGATTACATCCTGAAGGCTTTCCCTAAAGCTGGAGAGTTTTGATGTGGGCTGAGGACTGACCCTGCTCATGTCTTCTTCTCTGGAGGAGCCCCCAGAGTGGCGAGGCAGTGTGCGGTGCTGCAGCTGTGGGGACAGGAGCTGGAGGCTGCTGGCTCTGGTGGGTATTCCCTGCCCGACCAACAGTCCCTCGTCTCCCCCGTGCGTCCTCTGGTGATCCCTCCGTACGTACATGGAGTGGCGGTGTGGCCTCTGCTGGGAGGAGAAGGGGCTGGTGTATCCCTGACCATAAGACAGAGGGTCATGTGGGGCAGAGAGAGAATGGGAATGGCTCCTTTCGCTCTCCCCGGGATCCAGGGAGTCTGGTGACTTGGACTCCTCTGAAGTTTTATGGCGGGTGGAGGAGCGCCTGTAGGAGGAGTCCAGAGTGTTGCTCTCTCTCTCTGAGCGCATGCTTCCTCTGCCACCTGTGCCAGGTCCCAGCCTCTCCACTCGGCGGGCCGCTGGGCTGCCCGGAGCTGTGAGGTCGAGGCAGCTGGAAGGAAAATAGCGAGACGTGGGTTCATCTGCATAAAGATGCACATCATTTAAGTTCCCCACTGACTTGGCATCGCTAAGCGTGCCATAGCTCTTGGACAAGTTCAGGTAGGCAAACTTAGAGGAGGATGGCGTGGAGCTGTGGGACTCCATGTAGTTGTGTCGGCTGTGTTTGTCCCCTGACTGAAGCGTGTTGGTCTTCCCTTCTACAAAAGAGTGGCGGTTCTGCTGTGAGCGGAAGTTGGATTTGAGGTACTTCGCCCCTGGGCCATCTGACACCTTGGATCCCAAGTTCATCTCAAAGTCGCCCTTGGACTTGGTCTCGCCGGGGCTGAGCAGATGAGGCAGGTTGCTGCTGGCCAGGTCCATGCTGCAGGCGGTGGAGTGGTTGAAGATCTGTGGCTGGTAGTTCTTAGGATGAAGTGTGGGGCTGAGGTTGATGGCTGCAGACATGTTGCCGTTGAGAAAGCTGTCGTTGTTGGGGTGGAGGTCTTCATGTCGGGGTAAGCTGGAGCACTCTCTGCTGCTGGAGCGGTGGCTTCCTGAGCTCTTTCCCCCATGGCTCCTAAGGAAAAGCAGAGACAAAAACATGTAATAATGAACTCAGTGGCAGCAAAGATACCACTTACTGCATTTAATAAGGAAAGGTGTTCCACAGGGATCAATTGCAAGACCCCTATTCTTCCCAATACATATGAATGACATGAAACCTGCAGTTTATTATGAGCTTTTTTTCTGTATGTCAATGATTCATCCCTGGTGGTGAGGGTGTTTGACACAGTGGATGTTTTAGTAAAGTAGAGTGGATGTTAACCCTTTAAAGCCGGTCGGAGCGGGCACGCTCCGTTTTGC